CTGCGTTTATGCCTCTTAAAAAATGTATTTGCTATGAATAAGTCATTGATTGTGCAAAATTCGATCATTCTCTCTCCAGCTCCATTTCTGTCACCGAGTCTAGGCTACTGAAACATTAAAATGTGAGTTCCCTAACTTGTATCTTTGGGTTTTGTCAGGGAAAATAAAAACTCTATTTCTAAGAAGTCTTTGGCAATTAGAAGGGATTTCAAGTGGATTTCAGTCAAAGCTAATTCTGTTAATAGTAAGATCATTTGAAACCATTCTTACCCCTTCCTTAACCCTAAAATCAAATCAATATTAATTGTGCCTTATATTTCACTTACAAACTTGAATTATTTTTAGGGAAAGCCCCTATATGAATTAGAAGTCACTACAGCAGCATTGAGACTGAAGTTAAGATAGTCTGTTGACCACAAAACCTTGTTATCATTCTGTACATATAGAATGTAAACGGAATATTCAGTGTTACTGCCATATATGTTAATATGCACAACCTTAATTAGAATTGTAATGGCCAAATGCATTCCCCCATGCTTTACTATTTTAAAATAAAAAAAAAAATCAACTCTATCCCCCAACAGCTACCTAATTTTAGGAGTCTGATCCTCACATCTCAATGATGTGGATCCATGGGGACATGGTATGGTTGTCAGTATGGGTGTGGCTGAGTGTGTGTGAGAGCACCTTGGAAGGGACTCTTTTTCTACAGATACTGTAAATACAAGTACCATTTTAATAAAGCATGTACAATAAACCAAAACAAAAAGACAAGTAATATAGCCTGTTGTATTAAAGGAGTGCTGAGAGACAAGGAATAGGATAGCCACTGCACATTCCACCTGTTTATGTGGTCCATGGTTTGATCATAATGTGAGCAGGGACTTATGCTTTTTAGCATGATGTACATGCTCATCATCTGTGGCTGCCAGATGGCACAAGGGCTCTGTGTGGAACAGCGGCAGCCTGGCCTGGCTCCTACAATGACAGGTCAAGCCCCGATGCCAGAAGTTTTCATTCCTTCCAGAGATCCTTAAATATTTTGCTAGTAGGAATTAAGAATGTGGTTGTTCTTAGCTTTGGATACTCATTACCACTACTGCACACCACGCTTTAAAACAGAAAATAACTTTTAGTTTTCCATAATTATGCACAAACTGAAGCAATAAAAGCAAAGACATGAATCACTTACTCCTTAGTCTCGGCAACAATTTTGCAGAATGGGTCAATAAACTTGATATTTTGATGGGCCAGAAGCTGTAATTTGGAGATAAAATAGGAAAGAAAAGTGAGGGGGAAAAGTAAAACAGTTTTTTACATTTTCTGACATGCCCTTGAAAAAGAACTGCTTGCATTGCCACACAGGCAGCCTTAGACTGAATGATGCCCTTCACACACTCCAGAACGTGCCCTGCATTGATCCAGATACCTGGAGCACAGTTCAAAGTCTTGCAGAACATCCAGTCACTCAGCAAAAAAGCTACCCAATCCAGACACCATGATTTGTTATACATTTTCTTTTTTTTTAAATTTATTATACATTTTCAATGCACATACATCCTATTTTAAGAAACACTCTTTATAGAGACTATTGAAAATATAAGACAAAGGAATTTTTCATATGACATTTATATTTTTACATTAAAAAATAGGGGTTTACTGTGTAATACTTGTGGAACAAAGGGAAAATTACTTATAAGCCCAAATTCCAATAAAAAATGTTACAAAATAGTATGTTTTCTTTCCAGCTCTCTCTCTTCATATATGAAGTTGTACAGTTGTACTTTAAAAGGTCATACTATATACACAGCTTTGTGTACTGCATTAAAATACAAGCCCCCCACCCCCCATATAATTTCCTTGCTCTCATATTCTTTTCGGGTTGTTTCCAGGACTCAAACATCCAACCTTTTGATTACTGGTTGAGTGCATTAATCATCTGTACCACCCAGGGACTTGAGTCAAATGACAGGTAAAAGCAAATTATCTGATACTATGTATGCAAAGGCATTTGACTGTGTGGGGACGACTCTGAGAAGAATGGGAATCCCAGAACACTTGATTGTGCTAATCCGAAACCTATTCTTGGACCAGGAGGCAGTCGTCAGAACAGAGCAAGGGAACACTGCATGGTTCAAAATTGGGAAGGGCGTACACCAGGCGTACATCCTATCTCCATACCTTTTCAACCTATATGCAGAACAGGTTATCCGGGAGGCGGGGCTCTATGAGGAGAAATGTGGGGTCAAGATTGGTGGACGATTTATCAACAACCTGTGTTATGCGGATGACACAACCCTGCT